CCATTGTTGTCAGAGAAGATGCTCAATATTATTTCAATTTTTTTTTTTGTTTTAAGACTTGTTTTGTGGCCTAACACATGGCCTATCCTCAAGAATGATCCAGTGTGTTGGGGAGGAGAATGTGTATTCTGCAGCCATTGGATGAAATGTTCTGTAAATATTAGCTCCATTTGGTCTACAGTACAAATTAATTCCAATGTTTGTTGATTTTCTGTCTGGAAGGTCTGTCCAAAGCTGAAAGTGGGATACTAAAGCCTCCAGCTATTATTGAATTAGGGTCTATATTTCTCTTTAGCTCTAATAATATTTGCTTTATTTATCCTGGTACTACACTGTTGGGTAAATATATATTTACAACTATGATATCCTCTTACTAAATTGACACCTTTATCATTATATAATGACCTTTGTCTCTTACAGTTTTTGCTTGAAATCTATTTGGTCTGATATAAGTATAGCTACTCCTGCTCTTTTTTGGTTTGTACTGGCATGGAGTATCTTTTTCCATTTATTTTCAGTCTATGTCTCTTTATAGACGAAGCATTTCTTGTATACAACAGAGAGTGGCTCTGATTTTTATATCCTTTCAGCTACTTTATGTATTTTGATTAGAGAGTTTAGTCCATTCACATTCAGTGTTATTACCAATAAGTAAGGACTTACTCCTGCCATGTTGTTATTGGTTCCCTGGTTATTTTGTGGTCGTCTTTTCCTTCCTTCATTCCTTCTTGTTTTCCTTGTAGTGAAGGTGATTTTCTCTTACCTTCTTCTCCTAAAATAAAAGAATATTTTATTTCTTCCTTTTTATTTTTTGTGTAGCCATTGTATAGTTTTCGACTTGAGGTTACAATGAATGTTGCAAATACTATCTTATAACCCATTATTTTAACTGGATTAACTACACTGCTTGCATAAATAAGCAAAAAGAAAACTGATAAAAATTATATAACTTTGTCCAGCCTCTTTTTCACTTTTTATTGTTTATATCTTGTTGTACTATGTCTTGAAAACTTTTTATAGTTATTTTTTGATTGGCTCATCTTTAAGTCTTTCTTCTTAAGAGTAGTTTGTATACTGTTGCTATGGTATTACAATATTGTATGTCATACTGTGTACTTACTATTGCCAATGAGTTTTGTACCTTCAGATGACTTCTTATTACTAATATCCTTTTTCTGATTGAAGCATTCCATTTATGCCTTCTTATAGGATAGGTATGGTGTTGATGAAATCTCTAGCTTTTGTTTGTCTGTCAAAGCATTTCTCCTTATTCCAGGGCAAAAGTTTGTTGTTGTGTTTTCCTTCAGCACTCTAAGTATGTCATGCCACTATCTCCTAGCCTGTAAAGTTTCCACTGAAAAGTCTGCTGCCAGCATATTGAAGCTCCATTGTATGTTGTTTGTTTCCTTTCTCTTGCTGCTTTTGGATCCTTTCTTTATCCTTGACCCTCAGGAGCTTGTTCAATGCCTTCAGGTTGTCTTTTTTGGGTGAAACCTGCTAGGTGTTCTACAACTTTCTCATAGTTGAATATTGTTATCTTTTGCTAGGTTTGAAAAGTTCTCTGTTATTTTCCCTTTGAACAAACTTTGTACTCCTGTCTCTTTCACTAACTCCTCTTTAAGGCCAGTAAGTCCTAGATTTTCCCTTTTGAGGCTATTTTAATAATCTTGTAGGCATGCTTCATTGTTTTTTATTCTTTTGTCTCCTCTGACTGTTTTTTGGTTTTTTTTGGTGTTTTTTCCAAAATGGAGTCTCACTCTGTCACCAGGCTGGAGTGCAGTGGTGCGATCTTGGCTCATAGCAACCTCCGCCTCCCGGGGTCAAGCTATTCCCCTGCCTCAGCCTCCCAAGTAGATGGGATCACAGGCATGTACCACCACGCCTGGCTAATGTTTATATTTTTAGTAGAGACAGGGTTCCACCATATTGGCCAGGCTCATCTCGAATTCCTGACCTTAGGTGATCCTCCCACCTCAGTCTCCTAAAGTGCTGGGATTACAGGCATGAGCCACCACACCTGCCCTGACTGTGTATTTTCAAATAGCCTGACTTCAAGCTCACTAATACCTTCTTCTGCTTGATCAATTCTGCTATGAGGCGACTCCAATACATTTTTCATTCCATAATTTCTGCTCAATTGTTTTTTATTTTTTCAATCACTTTATTAAATGTCTCTGATAGAATTCTGAAATCCTTCTCCATGTTATCTTGAATTTCTTTGAGTTTCCTCAAAACTCAAAAAAAAAATTTGGAATTCTCTGTCTGAAAGACTACACATCTGTTTCTGCAGTATTGATCCCAGGTGCCTTATTTAGTTTGTTTGATGAAGTCATGTTTTCTTGGTGTATTAGCCTGTTTTCATACTTCTATAAGGAACTGCTCAAGACTGAGTAACAAAAGAAAGAGATTTAACTGACTCACAGCTCAGCATGGCTGGGGAGGCCTCTGGAAACTAACAATCATGGTGGAAGGTGAAGGGAAAGCAAGGCACCTTCTTCACAAGGCGGCAGGAAGAAGTGCCAAGCGAAGAGGGAAAAAGTGCCTTACAAAACCATCAGATTTCATGAGAACTCACTCACTATCATGAGAACAGCATGGGGGAAACCACCCCCATGATTCAATTACCTCCACCTGGTCTCTCCTTTGACATGTGGAGATTATGGGGATTATAATTCAAGATGAGTTTGGCTTGGGGACACAAAGCGTAACCTATAACTTGGATAGCCTTGATCCTTTGGATGTTTGCTGGTGTCTGGGAATTCAAAAGTTATATATTCATTTTAGTCTTTGCAGTCTGGGTTTGTTTGTACCCATTCTTCTTGAGAAGATGGGTACAAAGATGCTGGGGCAGTAGGATTGATTCAGCCCAAAACTTTCAGGTATTTGAAAGGACTTGGGTGTTGTGATCTAGTCCATATCTGCATTAGTGGGCACCCCAAGCCCAGTAACACTGGGGTTCTTGAAGACTTCTAGAACTAATTCCTGGGCAGTCTTGGATAAGATCCTGAAGAAGTCTCTGGATTACCAGGCAGAGACTCTTGTCCTCTTTCCTTTCTTCCAAACAGAGTCTATCTCTCTTTGCTGAGCCTTCTGGAGCTGGGGATGGAGTGACAAATGCACCCGTGTGGCCATGACCCCTGGGACTATGCTGGGTCAGAACTGACACCAGTATATCCCTGAGTCTCACACAAGGCCCACTGTAACTGCTATCTGGCTACCACCTATGTTTGCTCAAAGCCCTAGGGCTCTGCAAAGAGCAGATTGTGAAGCCAGTCAGACTTGTGTCATTCCCTTCAGGGTAGCAGGATTCCTCAGGCCCTGGGTGGGTCCAGAGATGCCATCTAGGAGCCAGGGAGTAGAGTAAAAAACCTTAGAAATCCACCTAGTGTTCTAGTCTACTGCAGCTGAGCTGGCACTCAAACCACCAGACACAGTCCTTCCCACTCTTCCCTTCCCTTTCTACAGGCAAAACAGTCTCTCCCTGTGGTCACCACCACAGTCCTATAGGGAACACTACCAAGCCACTGCCAATGTTCCTTAAGGCCCAAGGGCTCTTCAGTCAGCTTGTCATAAATGCTGCCAGGCCTGAGACTCACTTTTCAGGGCAGTGGGCTTCCCTCTGGCCCAGAGCAGGTCTAGAAATGCCAACTAAGAGCCAAGGCCTGGAATCAATGACCCCACAAGCTGCTTGGTGTTCTATCTCGTTGTGGATGAGCTGGTACCTAATGTGTAAGACAAATTACCCTTTACTTTTCCCTCTGCTTTTCTCATGCAGGTGTTTCACAGCCACCACAGCTGGGGATGCACTGGGTTTCACCTGAATCCAGCACATCTCAGATTCTCCGCCAGAACCCACAGTGTACCATCTGGGTATTGCTGCTGGTTATTTAGGGCCCAAGTGCTCTTCAATCAGTAGGTAATAGATCCTGCCAGGACTGCATCCTTGCCTTTAAGGCACCACGTTTGTTTCTAGCCCAGGATGTGTCCAGAAATGTCATCCAGGAGCTAGGGCCTAGAATAAGGGTCTCATAAATCTAACTAGTGCCCTATACTACTGTGGCTGAGCTGGTGTCCAAGATGCAAGACAAAGACTTCTTTACTCTTTCCTCTCTCCTCCTCAAGCAGATAGAAGGGGTTCCTTTCAGAGTCATGAGCTGTGCTGCCTAGGGTTGGGAGAGCAGTGGCACAAATACCCCATGAGCTGCCCTGGCTGGTGTCTCAGGAGGTCACATGCCACCCAAGTCCACTGGCTCTGAGCCCAACTCAGCACTAGGGCTTGCCTAGGAGTTGAAGTCATTGTGGCCTAGACTATCTTTTAAGTTTATATAGAGCCCCAGAATCCTGTGGTGACGAGGCTTGCCCGAACTCAGGTTCCAACCACTGAGATGGGTGATTGTCCTCTGGACAGGTCTGGTCTAAATGCTCTTTCTGTGGGCAGGCATCAGATACATTCGGCCCGGTTTTGCTCTCTGCTATGACAGGGCAAGACTGAGTTCAATGAAAAGTCCAACAGTCACTGCATTCTCCCTCCCCCAAGTGCACAATTCTCTCTCCATGTCACATGGCCACTGCTAGGAGATCAGGGAAGGGTGGCATTGGTAATTTAAGACTATCTTTCCTACCCTCCTCAGTGCCTCTTTCGGCCATTTGAAGTTAAAACCAGGTACTGTGAGTGCTCACCTGATTTCTGATTCTTATGTATGTGTTTTTGTGTGTGTGTAGATAGTTGTTAAATTTGGAGTTCCCACAAGGTAAAGTCTTCCATTTGGCCATCTTGCTGTGCCTTCTCCCTAGATTTTTAAATAAATTATAAAGCTGACTTTTAGATGTTCTATTTATTTAATTTTCTCATGATGAAAATATTAGCGAGTTATCAATGAATAAAGTGTTGGAAAAAGGAATAAAAAGGGTAACATTCTTAAAAGAAATTGAAACTAAAATATCAAGAATTAGATAATTTTACAATTCCTCTGGTAAGTATTTATTTTCTGAAAATTTACCTTCTCTTCTCTCTGCCACACATCTATTCAATTCTTGTATTGCTTCCTTATCAATAGATACATGTACTTTAAGTTCATCTAATTCTTCTTCAAGATTCATCCTATGAAAAAGCAATAAACATTTACTTAAAACCATATTGTTTTATTTAAAAAACGATATATCAAACATATATATTTAAATACATTTTAAATAATATATCAAATCAAGTCAGTAAAGATATTTTAAAGTATATAAAATGGAGAATAGTAAAATGAAAGCAAAAATACATCAATAATATTCACAGGCTGGGCACGGTGGCTCATGCCTGTAATCCCAGAATTTTAGAGAGCCAAGGCAAGAGGATCACTTGAGACCAGAAGTTCAAGACCAGCCTGGGTAACACAGAGAGACCCTGTCTTTACAATAACAGCAACAACAACAACAACAACTAGCCCATCACGGTTATGCACACCTATAGTCCTAGCTACTTGGGATGCTGAGGCAGTAGGATTGATTCAGCCCAAGACTTCAAGGTTACAGTAAGCTATAATTTCATTGCTGTACTACAGCCTGGGCAAAAAATTGAGCCCTTGTCTCCATAAAACAAAAAATAATAATAATAATATGCACAAATCCTAAAAATTACAGTTGAATTTACTGAGGACCTAGAAAATCAAATATTTTAAGTAAGTTATTTCTGTTAACTTTATCTCAATAAACATGCTAAACACTTAAAATACAGACTATATAATTTTAAAAATTATGTATTAAATTGCTCAACCACTTCTTGGTTGTTTTTAGACAAAGTCTCACTCTGTCACCCAGGCTGAAGTGCAGTGGCACAATCACGGCTTACTGCAGCCCCTACCTCCCAGGCTCAGGTGATCCTCCCACCTCAGTGTCCCAAGTAGTTGGGAGTACAGGTGTGTGCCACCATGCCCAGCTAATTTTTTGTACAGTCGGGGTTTTACCAAGTTGCATAGGCTGAACTACTAGACTCAAACAACCTATTCATCTTGGCCTCCCAAAATGCTGGGATCACAGGCATGAGCCACCACACCTGCCCTGCTCAACCACGTCCTAACTCACAGATATTCTAGGCAAAAGAGTAATGAAAAATGTTAATACATAACACTGAAAACAAGAATGGTAAATTCCTAGATGCCAAATAAAGGCAAAAAGGCTTCCCAGTTAAACAGAACTGAGCTACCATGGTGAGTATTTGACCAGGATCAAATACTGCCCATGGGGACATCAGAATGTGAGACCTGAGTAGGGATGGTGTATTAGTCTATTTTCACTTTGCTATAAAAAAACCTCCTGAGACTAGGTAATTTATAAAGAAAAGAGGTTCAATTGACCACAGTTCCATAGGCTGTACAGGAAGCATGACTGAGGAGGCCTCATGAAACTTACATTCATGGCAGACGGGGAACGGGAAGCAGGCACGTCTTACGTGGCTAGAGCAGGAGGAAGAGAGCACAGGCGGAGGTGCTACACACTTTTAAACAACCAGATCTTACGAGAACTCATTCATTATCACCGGAAAAGCAAGGGGGAAGTCCGCCCACATGATCCAGTCACTTCTCACCAGATCCCTCCTCCACCACTGGGGATTACAATGCGACATGAAATTTGGGTGGGGACACAAATCCAAACCATATCAGATGGACATTTAGACCCATGGCCCTACCTGGCTGACAGACAAAAATGAGCTAACTACAGGAAACTGGGAGATAACAATCTGCTGATTGAAAACCTGAATATCTGAGCTTATCTGGTTAGAGTTTCATTAAAATAGTTCTCCAGCCCTAGTATGGGGACAGGACAGAGTCAACCACACGATATCAGAATCCCAAGCCAAAATCAATAAGTTCAAAACTGAGCCATATAATGTGCAGAAACATGAACAATCAAAAATAATATAAAAACTGGACATACGGCCAGAGTATACTGGAGGGTTCAGGAAGACACCATCATCCCTAAAGGGAGGCTTCCACAACCTAAGAAAATGTATGGGAGAAAAGACACTACAGAAAATAATTCTCAAGTCGAGCATGAAGACAATAATAAGTATATAAACAAGTTCAAAGCCATGAATGACAAGCTAAATATCCTACTGCCCAAAATAGGATAACATACAACAATAAAATGGAGATAACAGAACAATCAAAATTACTTTCACTATTAAAGTTTTTAAAATGTTTTTAAAAAGATAAACAAGTGATAAACATATGTTAAAAAAGAACAGGGGTTTATAAAACGGAAAATAGATAAAAAGAATCAAATAATATATCTAAAAATACAAGATAAAGCAAGGAGAATTGATAATAATACATAATACTAGAAATTTAAACTCAATGGATGGGTTCAATAGCAAGTAGAAAAAGCTAATGCAAATTGATAAAATGGAAGACAGCAGAAGGAGGTAAAGGAAGGAAAACAGTAAAGGAAGGAAAACAGTAGGGGTATACAAAATATGTTGGAATAAGAAGTATAGAAAGTATTTAACAGAAATTATTCAAGGAGAGAACTGAAAGACTGGGGGAAGGAGGATAGATGGGAGATGACAGTCAAAATATTAATACCTCAGGACTTGACAACTGATGAAGACATGAATTAACAGATTGAAACAGCATCAAAAAATGGCAAGGAGAGTAAATAAAACTGTTCACACTTAGAAATATCATAGTGAAACTTCAGGACACCAAAGATAGAGACAATCTTTAAATCAACCAGATTGAGAAGAAAACATTTCTAACAACTACAGGTCTCTACAATAACAGCAGAGTTCTCCTATCAACAAGAAAAGTCAGAAGGAAAATAACTAATATCTTTCACATGCCAAGGTTTACTACTCATAGATCCTAGATGAAAAAATCATTAATATATTTTAAGAAGAAAATAAACACAAAAGCAAGGTATAGAACAAAATAAGCAGCGATGAAGAAAGACACTAACAAATATATACAAGGAATTAAATAAACATTTATTTTCTAAAGTGATCATAACAATATCTGAATGAAGACAGAGCTAAAATAAGGTAGAAGTAACATTCTCAACAACAAAATGATATTGGATCGTCAAAGAGATCAGAGTTAAACATTTTAAGGTCCTTGTATTGTAGGAGGATACAGCTAGTGATAAACTTTAGACTTTGTCAAATAAATGATGTGTTATAATTTCAAGAATAATTATTTAAAGAATGAAAAACAAATATAAAAAAATAAAAATTAGAGGGGGTCAGAAGAGAAATAAAAAAAAAACTGTTATCAAATCAAAGGCAAGAAAGTCATTTTTGAAAAGGAGCATAAGTCAAAACCACAATGAGATACCATCTCACGCCAGTTAGAATGGTGATCATTAAAAAGTCGGGAAACAACAGATGCTGGAGAGGATGTGGAGAAATAGGAATGTTCTTATACTGTTGGTGGAAGTATAAATTAGTTCAACCATTGTGGAAGACAGTGTGACCATTCCTCAAGGATCTAGAACCAGAAGTACCAGTTAACCCAGCAATCCCATTACTGGGTACACCCAAAGGATTATAAATCATTCTACTATAAAGATACATGCACATGTATGTTTATTGCAGCACTGGTTCACAATAGCAAAGCCTTGGAACCAACTCATATGCCCATCAATGATAGACTGGATAAAGAAAATGTGGCATATATACACCATGGAATACTATGCAGCCATAAAAAATAGGATGAGTTCATGTCCTTTGCAGGGACGTGGATGAAGCGGGAAACCATCATTTTCAGCAAACTAACACAGAACAGAAAACCAAATACCACATTTTCTCACTCATAAGTGGGAGCTGAACAATGAGAACATATGGACATAGAAAGGGGAACATCACACACTGGGGCCTGTTGGGGGATGGGGAACTAGGGGAGGGATAGCATTAGGAGAAATACTTAACGTAGATGATGGGTTGATGGGTGCAGAAAACCACCATGGCACGTGTATACCTATGTAACAAACTTGCATATTCTGCACATGTATCCCAGAACTTAAAGTATAATTTAAAAAAAACAGGAGCATAAGAAAATAAAATGTACAAGAAAAAATTAAAAATAAAGATAGTCATTACACAATGATCAAAGGAATGATTTACCAGGAAAATAAATTAGTTCTAGACTTTTATGTACTCAACAACTGAGTTGTTGTAATCATTGGTATAATTAATAAAACAATAAAAAGTTATTTAAAGTAAAAATTAGGTAGTCTCTCCTTCCCCTCACTCAGTATGCTTCTTGGAAAAAAAAATAATGTTTATACTTTGATGTGTATACTTTCATTTTTTGTTCATATATTATAAACATCAATTCACACACATAAGGATTTTAAAAACTGGGATCTTATGATATATATTGGCAGCTTCCCAGGTCCATTACAGATTGATAGGAGGAGCACATACACATGCACACACATACACTCAACCACACAATGATTAAGCTTGGATTAGGGTCCTGATTTGTTATTTAAGAACATGGAACATACTGAAGCAAGATGGCCCCACAAAGAAAAAGCAGGTGTAACTTAACTTAGTTTTCCTTGGCTCTCAGATCACTAACCCAACAGAAGGTAATGCTACAGTTGTTGGAAAAGTTATTTCTTGCTTCTTAAAAGATATTTTACACTTACAGCTTGTTTCTTTTGGAAAGAACACACACAGTCCCTACTTTTAATAAATATGTATAGACATCAGGGACCATCTTGTTCTTGAGTCAAAATAAGCACCAGCAAACCACATCTTAGTAGGTGCTTGCGGGAGGAACTGACAGAGGCAGAGCCCTGGTACCCCTGACCAGGATGAGCATTGGCTATCCACTGACTCTGATTTACTATTCACTTACACTGGTGTTTCTTATACTGTGGTATGAGGATAACAATTTAAAATCTATTTCTTACTGGACAAATGATAGGAAACAACTGTATGCAGACACTGGACAATAGGCAGCACAGAATTGTAACCCCTGAGAGAAAGTAAATAAACAGAGCCCTTAATGATAGCTCGATTTCTGCCTGGAAGCACCTTCCAGACAGGGAGAGGGGTCCCAAGAAGAACATGACAGTCTCATTGAGTTGAAACAAGAGACTGGAGTTTAGGAA